GGAAACCTGAGACGTAGGAGAGCTTGAGTGACAGGAGCCAAGGCTGGACCTGACACAGAGGAGGAGGCAGGGCCACAGGAGGAAGTGAGGGGTGTCCATGCAAAGGCCTTCCCACGCATCCCACGGATGGACGGGAGCTAGGGTCTGGGTGTGGACAGCGATATGGCGGAGGTGCCATTAACCAAGACAGGAAACGGGTAGGGGGTGGATGATGGATTCAGAGCTGTATTCAGCATGAGAAATCCAAAGTGACCAGCTGCATGGTTATAACAGGCCATTCAAGTAACCCGGTGACTGTTTTGCTAGCCCAAGGAGATTCATGAACGCAAATAAAGGTATAGCTTCGGTTACGACTTTTTAAATGTCCACAATTTCTCTCCCATCCCCCTTAATACTTTCTTAGACCATGAGATTTACAGCAGGAATTCCTGCTAAGACAGTGCACAAAGCTCTGTGACCCACGGTGGCCCAGCACAGCCCCTGACCCTCGCCAGGTGTCCTCTGAATGTGAGTTGATGGAAAGGAATTCTACGGCAGTTACTACCCCACTAGTTTGTCATGTGCCATTTGGTGCCAAGGCTGTGGTTATCTGTGTTCATTTAAAGATCCATTCCTTCTCCCTCTGTGGTCCACATGGACAGAGACCAACGTGCATCTCCCACACGAGGATTCTGCACACAGTAAATGCACGACGAATACCTCAAGGCTTGTTAGCGCCCTTAATAGTTCCAATTAGAATTAATGTCTTATTTTAAGGCCTCATTAGGTCACCTTGACTAAAAGGCACCAGGACCTATAAATAAAGTGGGGGGGGGGGAGAATTTCTGCATCCAGGGATAACTAGGAGAAGAAAGTTTTCAAGCTATCATATATATATGATAATATATAATGCAAAGTGTCCCCTTGGGAGTTTGACCGATCAGGAGTTTGATCGCTCGCTATGACGTGCGCTGACCACTAGGGGGAAGCGCGGAATGAAGGAAGGCCCTGGACGGCAGCCGGTAGCCGCTAGGGACCCTACCTGTGCGTGAATTTCATGCACTGGGCCTCTAATTTCTTATAAGCAGGTAGTTTCTTCACCTGTGGGTGGTCCTGGGAAAGATGAAGAGTATATATTTTTTAACTGTAAGAAATTAAAGCCAATAGAAGCAGCCCTGGTAAGGAGCTGTTCCAGGCTGAGCACCCCTGGAAGTCCCAACAAAACAGAAACACCCCGGGGGGAGACAGCACGTTGCTTACACAGCCAAAGGTTGTGGAATGCCACGCCAGCTCTGAAGGCTCGGGATTAGGAACGATAATACGGGCTACGTTTATTGCATGATGCGTTAGGCATCATTGTACACACTTTGCATGTGTGATCTCATTTATCTTTAAAATAACTTGGTGATGTGGTTACTAGTAGCTATCCCAATGGTTCAGATGAGGACAGAGAGACACAAAGCGACTGTGGCACGTCTTGTCTGGAGTGGTCCAGAGTCACCGCCAGTTTAAACATTTAATAATTTAAGGAAAACAATATTCACTGAGTGCCAATATTTGCTAGGACTATGCCCTGGGGGCAAAGCCACGTTCCATTCAGACAAGGTCCTTGATCTCATAGCGTTCTATCCTGGCGTGGAATAGGCCGTCCACAGTAAACCAATCACTGAACACAATGACTGGATTGGGTAGGTCCTCTGAAGGCACGAGGTGTGGCAGAGCAACAGGTGCACTTGGGGCAGGAGCCTGGAGGACCTCTCTGAGCAGATCGCGTCCGAGCTGAGACCTTGGGGATAAGAAAGAGCTGCGAGTAAAGAACCGGCAGGAAGAGTTCGTGCATCAAGTTCAAGTCTTGGGGAAGAATCCAGTTTGGCACATTCTGAAAGAGGCTGCTGGCTGTCGCGGGCAGAGGGAGAGCATATATATTGAGGCTGGAGTGTAGGCCAGACCAGGCCGCCTACCAGGTGGTAATCTTTAGGGAGGAGTCTGGAAGGTGTAAGCAGGGGAGGGAGTGACCTTGAGACTTCAGATCACTCCGCTGAGCGCAGAAGGAACACAGGAGGCACGAACAGAAGCGACATTTAGGCAGCAGGTGCTGCATGGTCCAGGTGAGAGGTGCTGAGGCATGGACGGGGGTGGTGGGGAGAGATGAACCCAACCTAGATTTTGCCCTTGAGCCAAGGAAAGGGGGGTCACCACTCCTTAAGAGCGTTCCTGTCTGTCCCTCACAAATGTCCACTTGAAAGGATGGCTTGTGGCACAGCCCCCAAGGGCCACCGGTCCTTTTGACGTGGATTGTCCTACTCTCTGTCTCACAGCAATGCAGATTTCTTTCATTCTGTTACATAACCACAAATTAGTTCCGTAGCCCTACTTTTCACATGAATGGCCGAAGAGTCCCTTTTCAGACACAGTATGTTTTTGTGACCATGTTACCCGCTTCCCAAAATAAAGACCAGTCCAAAAGGTACGGGGCACCTGAGGATGGTTAATGACGTGCTATTACTAGACATCGAGGACACCTTTTTGCTAGCACACAGAATAAAGTAAAAACCTAAAATATTCTTGTCTGACAGAACGGAATGAGAGGGACGAGGGGACAGGAGTGGAAGAGGACCTCACGTCAGAGATTAAACTTCGGAACCGACTATATATGAGAATCTCCTGCCGATTTCCGCTCAGACCACAAGGCACCTCAGCTGACCAGCAGGTGGTGAGGAGTGGGGAGCCCCGGGGGGGGCGCCTCAAGGCAAATACAGAAAAGACGGGCACCAAGGGGTCCTTCCAGTGCCCACCTCTTGTTCTGAGACACTTTTAACTGAAGAAAGTGGCGCCATATTACAGGCTCCTCAGTCAGTTTCCCATGTCCCAGCCGGCAACCACGCTCTCTGCACTGAGGAGGAAAAACCTGAATTATTGATGATGCAGAGCAATAGTTAATGACATGGAAAGATGCTCATCATCAGTGAGACCTGGTAAACAAGAAGAGGTTACAAACAGTATATGCGTGTGACCGTATTTTTGGTTTTAATTGTGTGTGTAGAGAAATGAGTGCGAACATACACTTCAAAATGTTTAGCAGTTCTCTCAGTCATGGATTTTATAGATATTTAACTTCTTGGCGTGTTTTGGTGAACAGTTTAGGAACAAAAAGCAGAGCTTTAAAAATGAAAAAAAAAGTTGCCTTTTATCTTTCAAAGATAATTTGATCTTTTTAAGTTCTATTCCACCAGAAAAACCACCTCCCGGAGTTACCCACTTCATAATGAACTGGAGCTTCTGATTTCTTCATCTGGGTCAGCATTTCATTCACATTAACCTCCAGACTCAGCCATTGAAAAACGCATGCTTCCCCCTCTGGCCAAACCCACGCACACGCGGGTGAGGACAACATCAGGATGGAAGCTCTCGGCTCCTCTGCCCTCCTCCTCGGCAAGGACCTCAGAGACCAGCACAGCAACTCCACACAGGCCACGGAGGGCTGGCCCGCACCGTCCAGGCTGGCCCGCCATCCGCCCGCTTCTGGGGGTGTTTAAGGGCAACAGCCCTGACGTGAATTTACTGCCCCCAAAGCCCATCAGAACCCTGGGGACAGGAAATCTCCGGAAATGCAAAGCACAGAGCGAGCTGCCAACTGCAGGCCCAGGACACACAGTGTGTGTGGTAGGAGCCTCTGCGGAGACAGCCGGCTGCCTCGCTCGCCATTCATCATCGGGGCTCCAGGCCCTCTCCTCCCACAGAGAGAGGAGCCTGGAGGCCACGCCACTGGCTTCAGAGACTGCCGCATGCACTTGGACGGTCCTCGGACCCCTGGGGAGCAGGGCTGTGTTTACCGCCACCACAAAGCCAGGCGAGGAGGCCTGAGAGAAGATGGGACTCATTTGTTCTAGAAAGACTGAAGCCCTGCAGTTTGCCAGGGCTGCCCGCCCCCGCCCGACAGCCCCGCTGGCTTTCCAGGGCACAGCCTCCCGTGCCTGACCCGCGATGATGCCAGACCTCTCAGAGAATCCAATGTTTGAGCAAGAAGGACATCCCCCCAGTCTGTACTTTTAAATAAACATCATCTCACTAACAAGTAAAAGAAATACCAAGTTGGGGTTGACCAGCTTGAGACAAACCAGCTCTTCAATCCTGCACCTGAAATCTATCGGGAAAATGCCTGGGAAATGCTTGGGTGCCTCTGTTCTGGTCGTGGGAGGAACGGGCTCCCCATACAGGACGATCTCTTTAGACCAAGCTTACAGGCCCTTTCACACCGGCAACACCCCACATTGCATAAAGGCGATGACACTGTGATCGGTGCAGAAATCACTGCCGATAAAGAGGCTCTTCCTTTTATTTTTCTTCCAAATGTACTTTTCCTGTGGAGCACATTCTGAATCTTAAAGAAGATTCAGAATAAAGGGTGAGAAAGATCAAAGACAACCTACTATCCCGGACGATGGGTATACACATGACCTCACTCATCACAAGTACCCTGAGCAGAGCATTGCTGTTCCTACTCTTCATGGCGGGTGGGGGGACCCCTAGACCCTTGCTCAGGATCACAGAGCCAGTGCATCGGCGGGCTTGGGTCAGCAGCCATGCCTGTGCGCTGGGTTCTGTACGTAGACTAGTGTGCAGTACGACAGCCAGGCAGCTCTTTCCTCCTCACAGACATGAAAAGTTGGAGCTTCTTGTAGACCGAGTAGGAACCCAGACTGCCTTCCTGCTGTGTCTCAGATCATCGTTCTTTATGCAGTTTTATAATCTGGGTGAAACTAAGAATCTAGAACCAGCCTGCGTTCATAACAAAGAAAGGAAGAAACAGCGTCGATTGCCCAACCGTGTGTCGGCAACAGCACTGCCCATGAGTCAGCACAGACTTCCTGGAGCTCCCGGGGGAAGTGACAAGGCGACTCCAGCCCGACCTCCGAGAGTCTTCCACCGTCTGCTGGCGTTTCTTCTTGCTCAACCAAACCTCATATGCCACCTCCACCTCCCCTCCCCCACCCCCCGCCACCCCCTGGCCTTTTATAGGTGAGGAAACTGAGGTCCAGGGAGCAAGAGATCTGCTAGGCCCCAGAGTCAGGTGGTGGCAGAAGGGGGACTAGAACCAGGTCTTCTCACTCCCCACCCTGGGCTTCTCCCAACCTCTCCTGCCTGATACACATGACAGGTGATGGCACAGAAACCGTGATGGCAGCCTCCAGCCATTGACCGGATGCTCATCGGGGGCAGGACCGGCAGCACATGCTTTAGAGAAGGATTTCATTCAATCCTCAGAATGACCAGCCTCCAGGGAAGATGAGGAAACAGGCTCAGGGGGATTGAGCAACTTCTCCAGGACCCCCTGGGGCACGGAGGCCCTGGGACAGAGCCCAGGCCCTGGAGCTACAGCCGCATGTCTGTCCCAGGCTGCCTCTGGGCTCACCAGGTGTGGTGGAAGCTGCAGCGATTCAAGGTGAGCAAGCCATCCGTCTACTTCTTGTAACAGGTTGTCCCACCTGCTTTCCAGAAGCAAATCTTCGCAGAAACAGACCTCGCGAGAAAGGGACATAATCGCTCCGCCCTTTCCTGCCTCCTTGGTGCCCAGGCCTGAGCTTCTCCACAGGGTGAAAGGCCCTACTTGGTATCTGCATCCATCTATCTATCATCTATCTACTATCTATCTATCTATCTATCTATCTATCTATCTATCTATCTATCTATCTATCATCTATCCATCCTCTATCTATCTATCTATCCATCCATCATCTATCTATCTATCTATCTATCTATCTATCTATCATCTATCTCTCTATCTATCGTGTGTGTATCTGCTTTTAGATACAAACATGAGTTTAAGGGGGAAAAGGACACAACTCAGGCACAAATAAAATAGAATAATCCTTTAAATAATGGAACTACAGGCTGCTGAGAGTGGAATGCCAGGTGTGCCAGGTGGTACTGGTATCCAGGTGTTTTGGGTACACCAGGTGGTACCTGGGCGTCTCAGTGCAGCACCTCTGCTCACAGGCTGAGGTGCACCAGGGTGGCGGAGGAGGCTAGGGCAGCCCCGGGCTCCCACAATGCATCGCTCTCTGCATCTGTGTCTTCAGCATCCGTTTCTCAGGTGTGATGCCTGGAGCATGATTCTCAAAAACCAGCGTTTTGCAGTTGCCAAGAAGAAAGTCTTGTAAACAGGTTTCTTAAAGTCATTTGTGCTTAGAGGAAACTGAGGATGAACTCGTGGGAAGATCACTCAGCCTCTCTAGAGTGCAGGTTTATTGGCAGTAAAATGAGAGGCAACCTGAGGTCCTTTTTACCTCAAAAATTCTACATTATCACCGCCGTTCTGAGAAAGCAGGCCTAACACTGACTCCTCCATCCGCCCTCATTCACTGGCTCCCTCCGGTTCTTCTGCTCCAGTTACCGCCATTCAACTCCAAACGCTTTCTGGTTCATAAACAGTGCTGTACCTTTACGGCGGAAAGGTAAGACCCTTACACAGATTAGTAGCAACAGGGAAGCCCCTTTTTCCATGCGAAGGAAATGTCATCTTGTTATGAATGAGAGTGCAACGCAGAGAGCATTCCCGCGGAATTAAGGCATGGACGACGGAAGCTACCGAGCCATACAGCAGTCACATGATTTAATACTCTGCAGAAACCACCACGGTGATTCTGCGTGAAGAGATTCTAACTAGTCATTAATATAAACTTCACACCAAGAGTTTCTGGAACCATATAAGTTAGAGCCCCAATCGTAATGATGACCAATGTGGCTTTGATAAAGCTAACAAATGCTTTGGTCTTGCTGCATTTTACATTTTAAGCTATATGTTTATGTATGTTAACTATGACCAGGAAGATCTTTTCCCCCCTCATTTAGAAAGATAAATCAGCAAATGAAATAAGCTTATTCTAAAATCTTGTCCCACTCTCCCAAACTTTTAACATAAAAGAGTCACTAATATATATATGTACACACACACACACACACACACACACACACACACACATATATATGTACAGATACATAACTTCCTAGAGCAATGTGGGGACAGTAAAGAATTATTGTTGCCACTTTACCTGGGAAGCGCGGTGATTTTCCCCCACTTTTCCACACAGAACCTTCTGGGGCCATTGCTTCCTCGGAGAGAAGCGAAGCCTTCGTAGGGAATGCTGGACGTGCCCGTCACAAACTACCGACGAGAAAACAGGAGGAGGAGGTCAGGCCCAGCGACCAGCGGCCCAGGAAGGCCGGCATCACCCACACGCACAGCTCCCGGAGGAGCAGCACACCGCCCGCCCCGCCGCTGGGGACGCTGGGGACAAAGCTTATGCCGGGCACCGGCCATCCCCAAGCATCTGACACAGAACTGAGGAAGGACGGGGCCTTGTAAAGGGAAAGGTACGGGGGCCTGAGAAGAGAAAGCCTCTGTACCGCTGACCAGCTCGGGAGCCTACACCAGGGGTGGTTCCCACTACACGTGAATGAAGTGGGTGCATCAATTAGCCTAAGTCTATTGAGCATCAGCCCCTCATCAGCTCGTGGTGGATTTTTAAAAAATGATGATGAAAGAAAAAATAAAGAATGTCTGGGCCTGCAAACGTGAGGGGCAGGTCCTTGATGCAGAGCAGCTAAGACCCCGCCTACGGGTAAGGCTCCGTCTGAGCATCCGGAAGGCTTCCTCGTGTCCGATGTCCCTTTAGCTGCAACCCACCAGCAACTGCCTGGGTGACTATAAACACCACAAGAAAACGAGTTTGTTTTCCCAGCGTCCTTCAACTGCATTGTTCTCTCTAATTTGTTGAAAGGTAGAAGGAGGCAAAGAAAGGGCTCTTTATCAAGGAACTGGGTCACTTCTTAAGGGACCGAGCGGAGAGCACCCGTGGCTCAGGGTGCTGGGCTGCGGAGGGCCCGGGACTCTCTCTGAAAGGGCCACGCTGCCCTGAAGGCAGAGGCCGTCCCTGGGTCCCTGCAGGGGAGGTGGTACTTCCTCACCTCCCTCATAAAAGGCTTGGACTTGGCTGGGGCCGTGGTGCCCAGTGATGGAGCCAAAGGACTGTGCCATCCAAAGAGTCTGGAAACCGTGCACCCCACATTGGCACATAAACCCGGGATGGATTTATTGGGTGTCCTTAGCAAGTGTTAAAAACACACAATTCCAACAATAATTCTACTAATGCGTTAAAAAGATGAACCAATGGCGTCTTACCTGTAACAACCGCAGTCGTTGCTCATTGTTGAATCTCTGATTGTCGTGATACCCTAGCGAACCAATCACAAAAGCCTGTGTTACTTTGGCTTTTCTATCGTAAGCCACCACGACACACTGACAAAGGACCCCCAGACACATGTCATCATCTTGGACTCTTTAAAGGTCATCGATAATTTAAGACTAAGGAGAACACCGTAAACAATTTAAGACTAAGGAGAACAGGCCGTGTTTCCTTGTAGCGTCACCAAATACAGCGAGTGGAGAGAAGAATAAAAAGTGAGGGATGTTAACCCTATCGCCTCTGAAGAACATAATCTCGGTGACTGGAAATGCTTAACTCTTTGGGCCATTTGTTTAAGAAATAATTTGTGAAGGTCACTATGCCACGTGCTGTACAATGCTTGGGGGTACAGTGTCCAAGAAATCAGACCCTCACAGGGTTCCTGGGAAAGGAGAGACACATTAATCAAATAATTATACTGCCCGGCCAGTGTGGCTCCGTGGTTGAGCGTGGACCCATGCACCACGCAGTCACCGGTTCGATTCCTGGTCAGGGCACATGCCTGGCTTGCGGGTTCAATCCCTGGTGGGAGGTGCGGCCAGGGATCGCGCAGGAGGCAGCCGATCGATGTTCATGTTTCTCTCTCATCAATGTTTCTCTCTCTCTCTTCAATAAAAACTTATTTTAAAAATCAACAATTATACAAATTAGTACATAACTGCAAAATATTTTAAAACTACATATAACATTCATATTGTTTAATCAAATTACTTTTTAGTAATAGAAAAGGAAAATTGTACAACTTTAATTTCTTCAACGAATAAATCCCCAATAACCTTCAACCTAAATGTTACTTTTATTCCATCCTTAAGTAGAATTTAATAAATTGTTAAACGTGTCATCCCATGGGTAGATTAAGGAAGTGGTTGTAGATGCCAGTCCTTTCAATAAAGAAAAATTACCCTCAGAGACACGGCTCAGAGATTAAGGTTCAGTTAGCGGTTCAAACCAGTTAACTGACACCATCCATCAGTGTGCATCAAGCCACAGGAATTCTGGGTTGGAGGAAGTATGGTCCCCGTGTTGCAGTATCTGGGATCTGGGATCCTTCCTTCCTGCTTCCTCTTCGACCAGTGAGAGTAAGAGAGGATCCAAGCGAAGGGCCAATAAACCAGGCTGGGCGTGGGGACACAGGGCCAGCTCTTCCGTGCTGAGCAAACAGCTTCCCCATCTACAAAGCAGTGCACTGGCTCTTGATTTACAGCCTTGACGTTCTCTGACCCCACGCACCGGCCCTTTGCTGCCTCTCCTTTGCTGTGTGTGCCAAGCCGTGTGGAGGAGGAGGAGGAGTGTCTCATCGTACCCCCACGAACAGCTGCCTCACGGACATGTGGCGAGGGGCGGGGAGCCCCTCTTCTCGCAGTGCCACGGAGCTGGGCTAGCCGGCATGGCAGCTGGGTGCCCCACCCCTCAGCACGCTCCTCCCCAGGCGTTCATCTGATAAGCTCTACAACAGTCATAGGAATAGGTACTCGATGAGTCATACACTGTGAATCAAAGTTTATTCTGTATAAATACAAGAGTGGCTGACGGGGTGAATGGCACTGCTAGCAGAATCGCCTGGGGTGGGGGAAATGAGCTGGTACTGTTTATGGTAACGTGCAAGTTATGCAGACGGTGGAGAAACTGTGTTCTAGTTAGTGAGCGTATTTGGTTAACTGAGTTAGGGTAACCAAGGCCGTCTGTGGATTGTACTGTGGGCCGATGGGCAAGACTCGCCACGGCAGCTGAACTGCAGAAAGAGCAGCAATGGAAACCGCAACTGAACGCCGCCCTGCAGAGAAAACGGGCCAGCAGACGGCCCCCCCACCGGCAACAGCACGAGCCGGAAGAGCCACGCACATGCAAAAGCCAAAGCCAAAGCCATTTAGCAAATGTCAAGTTAGGTTTTACTCTGAACTTTTAACATTGTTTTTTTGAATTTCTGTTTCAATTTACAGGTAGCGAGAGAACTGTTCGGGGATGAATTCAGGGACTTCAAGTTTGTCTGTTTCACTCTCCAAGCTCAGAACTAGTGCTCACCTCTCACATTTGGTTTCTTCTGAGTGAAGAAACCAAAACCAAAACCTACACAAGAACAACTGCTACTTGTCACGACTTCCCAAGGGCTTTGTAATAATGCAATTTCAGGAACTGTACTCTTCCTTTGCTTAAACTCATTGGAGACAACTGTAGCTCTGGGCTACCATCCAGTCCTTTCAAAGTATATGGATTCAGCATCCAACTTCGATGGCTGCCCTCCCAGTTACTAACTGAGAATTTGCACTGCTCTATACAAACGCCATCGCTAGCGCTTCCCATTTGGTGGCGGGTCCTGGAGAGCAGTGTTTAGCTACCCTTCCAGCAGTTTCCTTGTCAGTGGATGTCAGGCCCGACGGGGGAAGGGCCTGTTCAGTAAACCACTTGAACGTTGAGAAGCACGTCCTGTTCCAGTCACGTGTTTCCACTGTGAAGTACACAGTGGAAATGTAAGAACACAGCGTTTGCTTACTAGGAAGTCCAGAGGGTGGGCCTCTGCGAGTTTTAGAGTGAAGGGAGACTACAGGTGGAGTCTGAGCCAGCTCCCTGCTGCTTCCCTACCAACACCATAAAGCAACTAATTAGTGCTCTGATGGGCACATTTCCTCACCCACAGTGAAGCGTTATGACATCCTGCGATGGTGTGTAAGCAGGCCTTCCTCCCCTGGGCAGGTACGGTAACTAGGGAGAGAAGGGACTGTCCCTAGCCCAAGGTCTCAAAGGAGAGGCGCCAGACCTATGATTAGGGTACAAGTGTCCTTGCTGCCCCGGATTCGGACCAGCAGCCGAGCCTTCTGCCTCCCTTGCTCTCCAGCTTAGAACCCAGCCACCCCCAAGCCCAGCATCACCTCCTCTGTACTCGGTGTTGTTTCTCCAGTCACTCAGGTCTATTTCGGCTGTGCCCGCGATGACCAGCTCTAGTTCCCTCGCATCGAACACAGAGACCAGCCTGGCATCCACCACCTATGGGACAGCAAGAATACAGGGCACGGCTCAGGCACCCAGAGGAAGCCCAGCGATCACTAAGCCTCGTCAAGAAAGGAGGGCACATGCAGTTTGGGGAATATGATGGGTACACCCTGTAGGCGCTTTAAAAAAACGGCAAAGCTCTCGACACACATATAAGGTATTTTTAGTACAAGGTCGATGAGATGGCTCTCGGCAGAATTTCTGTTTTATGATTGAGCACTGATTAATCTAGTTTTTCTTTTCTAAAAATGATATAGTGCTGTCCACCCGGCGTGGCTCAGTGGTTGAGCGTCGACCTAAGAACCAGGAGGTCACAGTTCGATTCCCAGTCAGGCCACATGCCCGGGTTGTGGGCTCAGTCCCCAGTGGGGGGTATCCATGATTCTCTCACATCACTGATGTTTCCATCTCTCTTTCCCTCTCCCTTCCTCTCTGAAATCAATAAATATATATATTTTTAAATAAAAAGATCCAGTGCTCCTACGGAAGAAGTCGCACGGATACCGGATCCTTGTAACGCCTGTGCAGACCCTCCAATTCAAGATTTCACATGTGGAGCATGAGATGGGACTGTCTGCATCCATCATGCGAGACGCATGACTTAAATGTTACCAGTGGTCTCTGAACTGTCAAACGCTGTTTGAATTCAGGTCGTTTTATGTCAACGCTCTCTTGTCACAGGCGTGAAGCTTTCTCTGTGTGTGCTCTTGAAACACACAGAACAAAACACTGGACATTTTACATGGAAAGAGCAGCCGTAAGTGGAGCACAAGGGGAAGCCTCGTGGACATGGGCCCGAGGACCACAGCCCCCGCCCCGCTGGCGCCGCACCTCGTAGAAGCCGCGCACCAAGCTCTCCGTCTGCTGCACCACGCCGCGCTCGATCCGCCACTTCACCATCCTCTCGATGTACTCCTTCTTGTTCTTCTCCGTGACCGGGATGTTGGCACCCCCGGGCTTCAGCTCGCGCTCCGTGATCTGGGTCAACACAAGAGGGCTGACAATGAAGCAAGTCCTCAAGGGGGTGAGAACGCTGTCCCGCAAGCAGGTGGGAGGGGCGCCCGGGGCCCACGCTCACGCCACGGCTCAGTGACACCGGGCATTGAGCGGGTGTCCAAGAGCCTCTGTGGCTAAAACATATGTATTGCCAGTGGGGAAGGTTAAGTTTTAAAAATCCTGACTAAACAGATAAGCCTTTTAAATGACCATAAACTGGTTCCAGATTCTGGGCCACTGTTAGTTGGATATTTGACAAAAACGCATTTTCTCAAATTCCTTTAGGGTTCCGAATCAACCACACATAGGAAACCCATATTTAAGTAAGACTGACTTTAAGGAAACAGAATTACATTCATGTGAATATTAAATTGAAAACTTCCAAAACACGAAACTCAGAAAAGCAACCAAATATTAATGTCTAAATAAGATTATTATTAATGAACTATTATGTAATTTCTGAAAGAAATCTTTTATGTAAGCAACCCTTCCGTACACTTTGTAAAAAAAAAAAAAATCAACATTGGTTGATTGGTCAATATTTTCAAACCTTCACTAAAATATTGTTTACTTTCCCTCAGCTTTGAATGATCCACTTCAGTCCTGAAATATGAATGAGAGTTAAATCCAAGTGCCAATTAAGTAATTCAACATTCAACTCTGGGGTAGCATGGACTTTTAAACATTGTGTTTAAGGCACATTTTAGTATCTTACATGGATATTTTAGTTGGGAATAAAAAGAACGTTTACAACACACAAATAGCTATCACACTCTGTACACTAGAACACCTTCATCTGCAGTTGGCATGAGAATCATCTTTGCCACCACGATGATTGTAACTGTACACAAACCTGGGTTTAAACCACCCAGCAAGCCCCACGTAAATACGCATCTGATCTTAGCCACTAAGTCATTCTTCACCGACCAGCTACCTCCAGTCACCACACTGAGACACCAGCTGTGCACACCCACAGACCTGCCCGAAGACTTCTTCGTTCACAGTGAAGGTGAGGTCCAGGATGTCATGGATGTCGTTGTCCTTCATCCACTGCAGGCTCTGGTGGAACTCTTCATCCAGGTACTCGAGGTCACTCAGGTCACACAGACTAGGATGACACACAGACGCGAATAAACACGTGGGCACGGCGAACAGCAAAAACCCAGAGTCACGAGGAAAGAAATGAAAAGTTAAAGACAAGAACAAGGTCAACACAACAGGCACTGGTTTCTGAAATGCACTTATTAGTCAAAGGCAGTAACCAAATCCGTGAAATCAGTTAGAAATTTGTTATACAGTTTTAACATCCTGGATGTTTATAACACATCTTAGGAATCACCCAGTCTGACCTTTCAGAGACAGAGTTGGAGGTGCAATGACTGACGGCCATCGGCACAGTCACCCACAACTCGTGCCCCAGAAGAGACTGGAACTCGGGCTGACAACTTGGGTCCAGTGCCCTTTTGGCTATGTTACACTGTCTTAAACAGTGCTGTCCTAATTAGAAATTCTTCATATGTTTCTATAATGCACGTGAGCTTTCCCCCCCTAAAGACCAGATATGGTCCACATTTACATACATCCCCTTTTTCTTCATGGTTCTCACTTTTTCCATGATTCTGAAAACAGCAAGCCCCAGAGTCTCTCTCTATAATTATAAGGGTTTTCTATAGCTCTCTCCTCTTTTTTGCTGCTGAGAGAGGATCTACAGGAGGTGGAGTAACTATTATGGAAATGGAAGGTGGTAACATTTGATTTGCTTCAGTTGTTTTGAAATTCCCTCCTGTCAGCCCAATTTCAAAGGTCAGGCTGTTTGGTTCAGTCTAAACATTTCGTAGGCTTCAGCTATGTTCCAGATCTCTTAATAGCTACTTGTTAAACACTAATTGACCTCCAGGAGATAATGGTCTAGCCACGGAGACAGGCACACAAATTGATGAGTTAATATAAGGTGATTAGTGATAGCCCAGGGTGGGTAACACTTATAATTTGTGCAATTGTGTATAGGTATGTTACACTCCCATTAGAAAAAAAAAAAAAAAAAAGGTAAGGCAGCTACAGAGAGCTCTCACAGCAAACATGAAGGACATGTACTTCGACCTAGAGATTCAGGGAGAGCTTTCTGGTGTAGGTGATACCTGTGATAAATTTTGCAGGATGTTTAAAAGCTAGAGAGGTGAAGGGGATGGGTGAAGAGGAGAATCAGGGGGGGGAGGAAAAAGGAGAAGAGCAGAACAACAGGAACAAATCATAAAGGCAAGGAGTATGCAGAATACTCCAGCATCCTGGCAGGACCAGAGAGTGACCCGCTAGACGGAATGTCCAGGGACTGAGGCTAGCAGCTGGGAGCGGGCCATTCTAAGGGACTTGGTGATTCAGAATGACTGAAAGGCTTTAGGGAATACCATGGTCAGCTGTGTGATGTGAATTTCAATTGTTTCTCTGGAAATGGCAGTCCGGAGGATTACTTAAAACAAGGGGAGGTGCGGTTGTTATAAAAGGGTGGGGATCAATTATACATCACCATAGTCATCTGGGAAAAATAAGACAAGGGTTTTCATTAGGGCACAGTTATTGAGGATGGAAAAGAGAAGATGAATTTAAAAAGTATTTAGGAGGCAAATGTGGAAATAAGTAAATGGGTTTGTTGGGGGGGGCGGTATATAAAGAATGATATCTAAAATAGGGATAGCAAATAAACTCATGTTGCAAGTCAACTCTGATTCGTCTTGAGGGCTATCAGTCAAAAAATCCCCGAGGCCACAAGTTCAGCAGGAACAAGCAGCATAAAGGACCTGTGGACTATCTCCTGGGGATGGGGCGGGAGGTGGGGAAGTTGGGCACCTCCTACTTCCTGATGGAGGGTGACTGCGGATTTCCGACCAGAGCCACGTAAGACTGTTGGGACCATGAACTGTAACTGGGCACATGGGAAAGGGTACACTTTCAGGTCAGGGAAAAGTGAGGAGTCTCGTTTCAGCCATGCTGATTTCGAGGTGCCCGGGAGACATGCATGGGAGACATTCAGTGGCATGTTGACCACTCAGCCTACAACTCAAGGGCGATCAAAACCAAGAGTGCTGATTTGAGCATCAGAAGGAGAGGAAACTGGTGAAGATATTTCCCCATGAGAACACACACACAGAGAAGGCCAAGAATGGAAGCTTCTGGAACACTGAGGTTTAAGGGAAAATCAGAGGAGAAGCCCACCAAGGAGACATAAAAGTGAAGGAGGACAGGGCCATGGATGCCATGAGGTCAGACTCAAGACACATGGGCGGGGTTTGTGATGGTCAACAGTACCAAAAGCAGCTGATGGCCCATTAAGATAAGGTCGAAACAATATTCTTTAAAAGCTTCGCTAGGTTACTGGCGGAAAGGAGCCAGGCACCGTGGGTGGAGGGTGTGCCAACGGTTGGTATAGACTGCTCTCACCGAAAGCCTAAATGAGATGAGAGATAAAGCCATGAAATGGGAAGATACAACAGGAGCTGGGGGACCACGGAAGAAGGTGCCCAGTGCCAGCTGCCCAGGGCTTCATCTGCCCAGATACCCACAGGGAAGATGGCAGACATCTTCCTACTGACCCTCTTACGAGCCCCCTATGCACACCTTATTTTCATTTGAGGTCTAGGCTTCCATTTACGGGGAATGAGCTACACAGAACCAACCATCTGTGCTGTCCTCTTGCAGGCATGAGCCACTACCCCACAGACAGGCGCCTGCTCCTGCTCAGCCTTGTCAGCTCCTACTGACTACAGGGCAGAAACTGTCTGGCTTGACATTTGGCAATAACTGCAAACTTTCATTGTGACAACAATGAAGGAAGGTTCTGTGAATGCCAATGTTTCCCCTGCCATCAGAAGGTACCGTTTTGCATGGAGGGAGATCACAGGAAAAATACAGGACTGCCCAGCCCTAACACACAAACAAAAATAGGACAAAAACAAAACAAAGGAGAATGGAAATGTGGCCTAAGAGCAAGCAGTTAAAAGTGTGCATAAAGCAAAATATAAAGTGCATCATATAACAGATAGAGGACTATGAGTCACCCAGGCTAACCCACAACTATTCTATTAATAATCAGCATTACTACCACAGGAATTCCAGTGCTGCAGTTGAAGTAGATTGTTTTTCAGAAACATGTGTTGCAACAAATGAGGATCAATTCTTTGAAGGGCAGCAAAACTAAGACAGTGGGGGCAAGACAGAAGGAAAGGATCCGAAGCAGGAAAAACGCAGTACTAAGTATATTCGTTTCAGAAACCTATCCCTCTCTTAAGTTTAGTAACAGATTTTGGAACCCTTTCCAGTAAGGGAAATACTGCAGCCTTACACGCTAACTACACGAGCAATGAAAACACTCTTACATTCTGAGGAGGGCCTTGTAAAAGGGCCGTGTGAAGAAGGCATCCAGCAAGTACTGGTGTATCAGCGCCAGGCCCAGGATCCTGCCGCTGAACCGGAACCTGCGGAGGAGACGCACGCACGCGGTCACTTACACCTCCCGGACCAGGTTCTAAATCGTTTCACTGCATTTTGACCATCTATGTTTGTGCAAGATCAACTGCCTCCCGGGCCGCGGGCATGTGTGTGCCCTCTAGGCTGTGTCTTCCCGAGGCCAATAGTCACAACTACGAGTTGAAGGAAGGTGTCTCGCTCATATTTACAGACACGCTTCTCCCCCTCCCCCCGTGCCAAGAGCATCTACTATCTGCACCCGCATGGCCACCGGGAGTCCCCTGTGCGCACTCAGCGAAATTCCCCCAACCGCTTCCCAGTGACCGAGAGAATGAGGCCGATGGTGGAGGAGGAAACGCTGTCTTCTCATCTGTTTGCATGAATACGAGCAGGATTTGTCTCATGCAAACCCAGCAGCAATCCCCCTTGGAGAAAACCCCAGTCTCAGAGCGAGAACGTGCCTCTCCCTGTGCTCTCTCAAGCCCCACCCCGACCATGGTCACCACCAAGAGCGATGCGTGTGGGCATCTGCGGGAGTTTCCTCCTGGCACATTCTGTTCCCTAAAACTTCAAGGCTCACGTCCATTCTGAATCACTTGGGAAACTTTACTAAATATGTCTGTGGTGACTGGGCTTGCTGACTAGAGATGGACCCTCGTTTTCTCTTTCGAAAGGACTCCGTTTCCAGCTCTTCGAAGGTCGGATGCCTTCCCAGAGCGTGAGTCCCCCGGGCTCCCTCCTGCCCGTGGAACTGGAGGTTCACAGCCATCCGGGGACAGATGTCCGGCAGCTTTGTTTGTCCTTCTTTCCGCTGGTGTTAGCACAACTGCAACGGCTTCAGTTGGGAGGACTCCAAATTGGAGCCAAACGGAAGTTCATTTGAAACATAAGTCCTAAAAGTGATGCCCTCCACCCACCAAGACTAACCTCATGACTCAATTTTTTTCATGAGTCCTACTCATGGGTTTTTGTTGTTTTTGTGTGTGTGTGTGTTTTTCTGTGTTTTTGGTGTGTTTTTTTTGTCACTATCAGTGAAAATGAGCAGAAACAAGTAAACTGGGTTATAAAACTAAAGTCTGTACATGCAGGAATTTTTTAAAAACGTAAGGACGTTTAGTCAGAGCACAACCGGGGATTTTCAGAATAAATAATGCCCAGACGGGGCTCCTGTGCCACTTGTCCTTGGTGACCGTGTGTGAGAAATTAGAAAAAGGGGCAAACCCAGGCCACAGCCTTCAGGTGGCTAATCGGGTCCGAGCGGCCGCCGCTGTGAGTCCACAGCCTGCCCTTCTGCCTCCAGTCGCTCCAGCCCCTCTGCCTCCCTGTGTGAGCCGCTGCCCAAGGGCAGCTCTAGAAGCCGCCTGCCCTCGGGGGCAGGACTTTGCCCCACTCACCCTCACCCCCCGGAGCTCAGGGAGCAGAGAGGGGCCTGGGGATCTCGCCGGGAACCTAACATCATCCATAACTTTCATCGGATGGGAGAAACCCTTTGGATTCTACCCAGCTCACTTAAAATTGGTCCAAAGGAACACAATCTATTCCTGCTTGAGACTGACAAGAAAAATCAGAGTCAAATGAGATGTTTAATTGAAAATACGGCCCTATTCGGTTTGTCTCGATGGTTGGAGTGTCAGCCTGTGAACTAAAGGGTCTCGGGTTCGATTCCAATTCCAGTCAAGGGCACAGACCTCGGTTGCAGGCTCAATCCCTGGTCAGGGTGTGTGCGGGAGGCGACCAAGCAATGTGTCTCTCTCACATCAACCTTTCTCTCTGTCTCTCCTCCTCCCTCCCACTCTCTCTAAAAAAACACACACACACACACAATGCATGAAATCTCCTCCAGTGAGGATTAACAAAAAATAAGTAAGACCCACACCAGCCAGGGCAATAAGAAAACATGATTTTCTCTGAGGAAAAAGGTGTTAGAATCGAGGATTCCTACAAAAATGGATATCACAGAAATCAGCAGAAGAAAGGTGTTGAGGAAACATTTACTTACCATTCATGGTGATTGTCCACAAAAGCGGACATGGGACTTATCTGCACTGTGTATGTGTCATTGGCCGAATATTCGAATAAGCCGTAATATGGGTTGAAGAGTTCTCTGGACACCAGGAAGAAGAACTCTCTGGAAGGTCCACTGTAATCCAGCCTTTAAAGAAATCCACAGAAAGAACAACCAGTTGTATATTTTTTCCTATACATTAGACGCCTTTTCTACGGAGCTCAGCTTTCCACAGAACACGCATCGCAAGTCTAACCTCCCGCATTCCAGGACTGTACAAAACCAACAGGACCATCCGATTTCCTGAGCGCATCCATGTCTTGGCCCAGGACAGCGAAATGCACATTTTATGGGGAGCACATCCAAGACGAAAGCCACACATCAGATATGGGATGCAGCAGGCAGTATGTACTCTGATGGTGTAAACAGATATGAAGAGGTAAATATTTTCAGTGTTCGGGGCCAGGTTATAAGGAAAGGGAGAACAGTGGGAATACTCTCTTGAAAGAGGGCAAAACCAGAGGACTGAGCTGCCTACCTCCACTGACATGGAGTCCTTCCTCAGGGACTTCTAAACACTTTTAAATGGGGGAGGAGACTTGAGTGCATTGGGTGAGAGGCTATTACAGATGAAAGACCCCCTAGGAAGATCAGAGGCAAAAGAAAATGGAATGATAGAGTTCCAGTGAAAACTTTAAATTACAAAACACCAAGGAAGATTATAGACAAGAAAAACGAGGGTGTCAAAAGCTTCATCATGGAAGAATTTGGAGAAGAGGCTGAAACTCTAGCACCCAACCTACCGTGTAAATCCCACCTCAGTCACAAGGACATCAAGGACAAAGCGAAGCAGGAAAAATGACTATGTTAGGTTTGAGGAATGACAAGTGGCCAACAATGCTGAGAGCAAGGCATGCCGTCCAGAGGCATTTGCAACAAGCAGCTGGACTCGTTAAATTTAAAGCAAAAAGTATAAAGGACGCCTACCCCATGATAAATGCTTATGCCTGGGCTCAGGGACAGGAAGGGAGGGGAATGGAAGCAGTGGGTACGTTGGGGTGGTGGGATTTTTATAAGACTTCATTGGCTCACTCTGCTTTTTGCCCCTTATGGAATTTCCTCCACGGGCCCTACTGCATTTTTTTTAAAGGAAGTCATCTGAGTCTTGTCCAGTGATGGAATTGTGTGATAGAGAAAAGAATCCTGGTATAGGTGGCAGATGGAGCTGGGAGACGAGTAAGAAACATAACATGACTTTTATTCAGAGTTGAGAGTTTCAGAGAATTTACTTGGAACAGACGTCAGCTAGTCACAAACTGCTTTCTCAATGTTTGCCCTAGCTGAATATAGGCGTATGCTGTTTCCTTCATATTTCTCATGCAGTCAACTTTAAATCCACTGGCTTTTTCAGTGCAGCCTTGTCTTACACAATGTCTCTGAAATTATGATGTGCTAGCTTTATTTTTCCTGATACCCATCAAAAGAAATACGTAGACATTAAAATAAAAAACGTCAGTCTGTGTAACAGCTAAGGCCTTCTCACACAGCCCCTGTGCACGCTGCACTGTGGGCGACAGAGTGTGGGCGGCCAGGAAGCCTATGTGTGCAGGAAATGCAAACCTAGCGGCCTCTCAGGCCTAAAGGTGACATACTGAAACCGCCTCGGGGGAGATCGAGTCCATATTCCTGTCTACCGGACCCCGGTGGATGCAATTGGAGGGGCCCCCAGTTCGGGGGGGTCGGGGGGTCTCTGCTCAGAGTGTAGGGGCCTCCCGGGTGCAGGGCGCAGACCACACCTCCCAGGTGCTGAGCTGGGCAGCCCCGTGGCTTCCTCCCTCCGTCCTAATTTGATCTCTGACGCCACCACCACCAAGCAGAATACTTCTTCCACTTGAGTGTTCTTCACATACTTAGAGGCTTTCTCCCGGCAAACATCTGAGAGCCTGTTATGCTCCGGGTGCTAATCTGGATGCTGACGATAGACACTTTTTTTGGAAAAGTCATTTTCTGTAAGAACTCTTATGTGCAGCAGTTTTCATATCCCTGGTCTCTCTCCCTCCCCACTCACCAACAGGCCTCTTCTCCCACCCACTCAAGGAGGGGCTGGGAATTCCCTCTGCTGGGATCGGCTCCAGGCCCCAGTCTGACCTACAAGGCGGGGTCGAAGACTGGAGGTGCGGTCTCCTCCCCTGGGGCTGGGACAGGGCTTTGCCCTCCTTTCTGCACACTCTTCCCCGTGAGTGCAGCTGAGAAGCGCCCGCCCGTGGGGCAGCCCCCTCGCTGACTCACCGCGAGCTGAGTCATCGGCTCATACCTTTCTCCTGGGCGGCTGCAGCCCCGGGCGCTCCCGTCCTGTCTGCCTGTCACCGAATCTGTTCAGAACCCAAGTGCTGGACGCTATGCTTTTTCCTACTACATTTCACTTTCTGAGACGGAGTCCATGATGCCGGTCTACCCAGATCCCGGTGGATGCAAACCTTCTCTCTAAATGTCCTGCCGGTGGTGAGCTTCATCAGGTCCCGTGTCTTTCCAGAAACAGAAAATGCCAGTGGTCCCCGGCACCTTAGACGCCATTCTGTCCACATCCTCGTTTTACTGAGATGACTGGGACTGAAGGAAATCACTGATTGGCATCAAATGAAAGTGCGGTGGAGGGTCCGGGCCTTGACGCTGGCTTCCTGACCACCCCCGCCTCCCGCCCCTGCCCCCATCACCCATCACTCCTCACAGCCTACCCTCAGGACATTGTAAATGTCCAAGACTAACAAGAAAAAGTCACTTTTAGACCAGGGTTGGTCAACTATGGCCTGGGGGCCAAATCTGGCCCGTCTCCCAGCTTTGTAAATAAAGTTTTATTGGCACACAGCCATGCCCATGTATGTGCTGTCTGTCTGTGGCTGCTTTTCTGCTAAGAAGGCAGAGTTGAGTGTGTGGGATGGAGAATCCAGGGCCCTGCAAAGACTAAAATATTTACTATCGAGCCCTTCTCAGTACAAGTTTGCCAACCCCTGTTACAGGAGAAAGTGGGAGGAATGTGCTACTTCATTAAAACACCTGGCTTACTATAGATCCCCTTCTTGAGTGAAGGTTCCTCCAAGGAAATGGGAAATGACTACCACATTCTAGGGCAGTGATGGCGAACCTTTTGAGCTCGGCGTGTCAGCATTTTGAAAAACCCTAACTTAACTCTGGTGCCATGTCACATATAGACATTTTTTGATCTTTGCAACCATAGGAAAACAAAGACTTTTATTTTTGATATTTATTTTATATATTTAAATGCCATTTAACAAAGAAAAATCAACCAAAAAAATGAGTTCACGTGTCACCTCTGACACGCGTGTCATGGGTTCGCCATCACTGTTCTAGGGTGTATGCAACCTCAAGGCGTGGTCACAACTAAGCGTGAGGCCCCAAGTGAGTGGTCCGAGCTTCGCGGGGGCTCTCGGACACAATCCCGGCCCCGATCCTAAGGGTCATGGGCAGCGGAAACACAAGCCACATACTTTGAGTCACCGTTCGTACAAAGAGACAACTGGTCAAAGTAAAATGGGTTTTTAGCTGCTTAAAATTCAGCTGTGGCCTTCCGCTGGAAATAGCAGGCCTTTTTGAGGCTGGCCTCTCAGTGTCTAGTGACACCGCACTCACGGTGGATTATAATGAGTGGCTTGTGCGTCTACCTCCTCTGTGCACACGTCGACATTACTGAGGGCAGGGACTATGTCGTTCTCATTTTTGTATCCCATAGGGGCTCCCTATATGTTGCTGAACCAACGCGTGGAGCTCTCTACAGAAATCAACCTCCTTTACCTGGTGAGTTGGCACCTGGCAGAGTGAGTAACTTGGCACAGGTTTGCCTTCAGGTGGAATGTTGACTCAATGACATGAACAGGCTGTGCCCATCCCTAACTCCATTCACAAATACTGTCATAAATCACTCAAGGGAATGAGCCTCAGAGAGCTTGGCGTTGGTCTAGTCCTTTCCAGGTGTCATAGCATCTACTACGGTCCAGTTTGTCAGGACAACAAAGAGGGACCTCATTGAAGGGCTCCTTTCTGATGACAACAGCTGGATCTGGCTGACCATCACATAAAATATTTCCTGAAAAGTTAAGCCAAAAATAAAAACATCCCCCCCTGCCTCGCCCCCTAAGAGAGAACACAGCTACCAGTTCTCCGGGAGGAAAATATATCACCCTGAGCTGGTCAGGCTCTTCTCCACTGCTTTGAACTCCAGGAGCCCGGATGGAGTCCAACCAGGGCCAGCACAGCTTTTACAGTTTGAGTTGATTATAACCCCAAACTCCAGGACTGCACACGGGAGAGCCGGTTGTAGCTGCACATGACAGGCCGACCTAATCCAACGAGACGTGTCCCAGCAGGCACCTGTGCCTGTGCTTCCTGGCTTCTTAGCAACCTCCTCCATGTAAATAGCTCATCTGACTCATGTCCCAGGGATCCTCTGCCACATTCCTGTTTTGCCAGTTCGGTTGGTTCTGCAGCGACAGGCTTGGCACGGAAATGCAGAAACTCCGACAGCGGGTGTGGGGCCACCAGCAGCTGCCTGCCAGGGCATTTCGGAATCAGCACAGATGTCTTCAGGGGGGCGGTGCGGTTTTGAGCCCCGAGAAGTGCTGATAAAGCATTTAATTTATTTATTTATTTATTTATTTACGTTTTGATACAGCATTTAAACACCATCACGCTGCCGGGCTGGCATGGCCCAACTTGTTAGTGGCCTCCAATATCTGTTAAGAATAATTTATTTGCCCTAACTGGTTTGGCTCAGTGGGTAGAGCGTCGGCCTGCGGACTCAAGGGTCCCAGGTTCAATTCCAGTCAAGGGCATGTGCGTTGGTTGTGGGCACATCCCCAGTGGGGAGTGTGCAAGAGGCAGCTGATGGATGTTTCTCTCTCATCGATATTTCGGACTCTCTATCCCTCTCCCTTCCTCTCTGTAAAAAATCAATAAAAATATATTTTTAAAAAGAACAATTTATTTCATTCTCCTGTCCTTGACGTGCAACTAAACATCACCGAAAGCAAAGTATTCCAAGGGAAGTAGACTATACAATGAGAGAAGGCGATGGAATGGGAAGTCCCATCACCGTGTCCCCCAGATTTTTCAGGAAGACAGAGAGCGTGGCT